AAGTAATGTAAGAAATCTTGAGAGAAAATGTTCCCAAAATAGATTATATTTCAAAAACCAAATACCATCTATGAACTTAATTTGCTGCTCCCCCGCCCCACTCCCATCAAAATCTGACCAAGGTGAGTCATAGCCACAGTTTCATACCAATAGGATGCATGAATGAATTTTGTTACAGTTTAAGTTTCACAACACAAATTCAAGTGTCACAAGGAGGAATTTCTCTTTTCTCTTGCTCTCACTCTTTGACCCTAAACTTCCTTTCTGAGATAACCTATCCTTCCCTAATCAAAACTTTTTTCTACACAAATGAATGATAGCCTGCTATTTATATAACTATGTGTTTTGTTTTGTACAATATTTATATCCAGCTCATTGTATTAGTGTTTTAACTTGTAGATAGCATGCTAAAGGTTCATGCCAATTTAATGATCAGAACTCTAGGTTTTCATGAAACAACTGTTATGCAACTTTTAATGGAAGTATGAATAAAAATTTAGCTCGTTGGGGGTTTTTTAGCTGCGACAAGCGGTTCATGGTGTTACGACAGTGGGGGTCACGTGACGAGTATTCTAGAAGATTCGCTAGTGTGTTATGACAGCGTTGCGTCAACTGACGCTGGTAGCACGTGTTGAGAGTCTTAGAAGTTTCTAGAACAGGCAGTATTATCCTATATAAGTGCGCTAGACAGTGAGAGAGACAGACGGAGTTGAAGCAATAGTGGAGACAAAGACAGAGACGTAGCGGAGACGAAGCAGGCAGAGAGAAAGAAAGACAGTGGTTATGGTCGGCAGGAACTGAGGATAGCAGACACAGAGATCGGAATTATAGTTTGCGGGGACGGACAATTAAGTCTAAGCGCGATAGAAAGTGAGTGAATTATTGTGAACTATAGTGTGTGTCACTGTGAAAATTAAGTACATTACAAACTTGTATTGGGGAAGAATAAACAAGTTTTATAAAGAAAAAGACTTGTATCTTGTAAGAATTAACAAGCAAACATACAGAGACGTAACAATGGTATGGCTCCAAGTATTTTTTTTTTTTCAAGAACAAACTTTTAGCTCATAGCTCCCTCATCTCTTCACCGATTTGAGATCTAATTACAGTTTTTCACTCATGAGGTCAAACACTTTTGATTGATGTATATGACAATGCTCAAGGTTTCATAGATCAATTTATTTTAATTCTGCCTAAAAGAATTTTAATTTGAGGGTAGGCAGGTAGAGATCTTGGTGAGTAATAAAATTGTTTCTCATTAAGCACAAAACTACACAATTTGCTGTCTGTGCTATGCACACGTCCCTCGGTGGGACAGCAATAAATTTACGGACTTACAATGCTAAAATATGGGGTTCACTTGGTATTGGTGACACAAAAATTTATCTAATAAAAAGAAAAAAAAGAAATGTCTTGTAGGTTAATTTACTGTAATCCTGCCTAGAAGACTTTCAAGTGCCGTGGCTGTTGAGGATTCCCTCTTGTTTTAGTAAAGAGCAGAGGGTGGAGTTTCATTATTTCTATCCTAAACAAACATTAAACTTATTTTGTAATTTAAAAAAAAATAGACATCTTTAATTTATTTGTTTCTCATTAAGCACAAAACTACACAATTTGCTGTCTGTGCTATGCCCACGTCCCTCGGTGGAACAGCGATAAATTTACGGACTTACAATGCTAAAATATGGGGTTCAATTCCCCACAGTAGCTATGGCAGATATTCCAATGTGGCTTTGCTCTAAAACAACCAACCCACCATGGGTAATCGAAACTCGCTTTTTAACATTTAAAGCCTCCAGACTTACCGCTGAGCCACTGAGGGGGGTTGAATCCTCGCAACCAAACATGCTCGCCCTTTTTGCCATGGGGCGTTATGATGTTATGGTCATTCCCGCTATTCATTGGTAAAAAGAGTTGGTGGTGTTTACTGCTAAATTAGTTGCAGCTAGTGCAGATAGCACTCGAGTAGCTTTGTGTGAAATTTTAAACAAACTAAACCTTAACCCTTTTGATCTGACCTCCCTGAAATATTCTTTATTTCTATTATACAGTTTCCTTGTTGCCCTGCTAACTAATATAATTTTCCAGTAAATAATATTTGATGTCATTCTGTTAATAAATGTTCTTATTGAATTTCTCTATTAACCTAGTTTTTTAATGAAAAACTCAAAACTAAAGGAAGGAATGCAGATCTATGATGAACACATATTTTTCCTTGTTTTGTTTGTGTACACCAATGCAATACTTAGTAGTAAAAATATGCATTTTGAAATAAATCGTGGTTTCACGACCTACATGCTTGTTCGTAGCGTCGTTATAAAAGGGCAGGGAACAATTTCATGGCTGATGAAGTATTTACAGAAAAAACAGAACCACGTGAATTAAAGGTTAACGAAGTATCTCTAAGAAATTATGGTATCAACTGTTCCTTTTCTCCAACCATGTCGATTAGACATTTGGTGTTGAAGGAAATTGATCAGTTACGCTCATGTGTTGTTTGCTGTGTTTTGTATGCTAGCCATATCGTAATATCGAGATTGAACAGGACATGTTTCAGTTAAATGTTTCGGCTGTTGTTATTTTATGTATCCTTTCATATTACGTTTTATATAGGTTACAAACACGAAATCTCGACAATTTATTGAGTGCATTAAAATTGATAATTCATTCATGTACCATCTACTAACATCTATAATATCGATGTAGGTAGAGAATGGATGTTTTGGCATACAAGTTTATAAAGATAATTTATGTAATCTAATATTCCAGTGAATTTGAATTTTTAAATGCTGCATTAAATTTTACATTTCATTTTACTTCATAGTAAAAATATATTTTCTTAAATCATGAATATATTTAAACAAAATGAACTATAGGAATTAATTGAAACATTTATAATTGAATACATTAGTGATTATATTTAAATTGATTGCTTATGTTTATACAACAAAACACTAAATTTGAAATGCTTTGGGTAAGGACCTTGATCTTACGATCACATTCAAAGGCCAAAATGGTCCAGCATGGCCAGGTGGTTAGCGCACTTGACTAGCAATCTGAGGGTCACAGGTTCGAATCCCTGTTCCACCAAACATGTTTGCACTTTCAGCCATGGGGGCATTATAATGTTACGGTCAATCCCACTATTCGTTGTTAAAAGAGTAGCCCAAGAGTTGGAGGTTAGTGATGATGACTAGCTGCCTTCCCTCTAGTCTTACACTGCTAAATTAGGGACGGCTAGTGCAGATAGCCCTCATGTAGCTTTGGTGAAATTCAAAATAATCAAAGGCCAAAACAGGTGTCAAGGTCATCATGTGCAGAATGTTAAAAACACAGGATATGACAACTTGAAAATGAGTTAAATAGTGAACTCTGAATTAAAATTATTGAAAACATGCTTTATTATAAATTAAAAAATTTTTATTGCGAATGATTTCACTGAATTTTGCTGGTAGTCTAGACATTAATTCTATTTACATGTTTATTACAGGGGAATCTAACTTGCACACAAACATGTGTCTTTCATAAGTTTTGAATAAGAGTATGGATAGTTTGAAAGTCGCCAGATTAAATAGAAGGTCTTGAGAAGAAATATATATATGTTTATAACCTCACATTATTTTTCAATCTTTAAATCTATATTTATAGGGAGGGTAGTATTAATGTAATAATTCTCTTAAACTAGTTTCTGACAATGAAACTTTAATAGCCAAAATGTAGTATACATGAATAAATCAGACATTTAAGCTAAGAAGCTGATTTAGGTAAGTTGACAAATCTATTATTTGAAAACATGTGGTTTACTGTCCAGTAGATGTTTATGATAGCCATTGTGTTTTAAGTTAATTTTGAAGTTGGGAAATATTAAAGGTGTTAAATATGTAGAGCAGTTCTTGCAGGCTTTGTTAAGTAGGCAGTGACTAAGAATACATTTAGCAGTGTACAGAAGTTAATAATGATAGATATATGCTGAAAGTTGTTAAAAGTGGTTTGCTTTCAAAATACTGAACATGTAACCTATGCTGTTGTGAAGTGTTTATTAAACACATTTTGTATCATTGTGATGTTTATGATTAAACTACAATTTCTGAAACAGAAATCTATAGGTAAAAAAATGTATGATTAAATCATACTTGTATAATCTTGTGTAACTTCGGTGTAATTGTAAATAAGTTAAGAGTAATAGAGCAGGTTGTTTTGTAAGTAAAATGTTGCTAGACCCTGCTTATATATATATATTTTTTTTTTTTTTAAGTAAGAGGTTATAGAATATAAGTAAACTGACTGTGAAACTTGATTGAAAGTTTATACGGTTTTGTAGGGTGGTAGCCACAAGAGTGAATACAGCATGAAGATGTGTGATTCAGACTTATGGTTAATGTAGCTGGGACTTCATTTCCTCTACATCATAACTAATATTGCAGCTTATAAAACCTAAGTAAAACTGATATGTGGAAAATATATAACAAGATGCCTTTATGATAACAATTTCAAAAATATTTACTGAGAAACTGATGAAAATAGAATTTTTCATAAAATGTTCAAAGATAGTGTATCTTAAATTTTTAGCTTTATAAATTTTGTGATGGTGAATACATAAGGCTGTTTAACACTAGTACTTTACAATAGCAGAGTGCAAAGTGAACAGTGAGTTATCAGGTCAGCTGGTTTTGATTCCTAGGAGCAAGAAAAAAAAGAGAACAGAACAATGGAAAACACCCATAGGGTATTAAAGAATAGTTTTTTACAGTGGCATTTTTGTAAGTTCATGGTGTATGATTATTTGAACCTGGTAATTTTGGAATGAAGCTATTCACCAATGTATAGTACTGCAGTACTTTAAATTGATATTTTCCTACTAAAGTTAGAAATATTTATTAAGAAATGAAACTTTGTGTAAGAACTTAGCCAAGCTCTTTATGTTTTAAATGTATTTGATTTCTTCACTTTAATTAGGTGTGTGAGGAATATGTATATATTTGTTTGTTTAATATTTGCAGAGAAAGACCCTATTGCCATTGAACGTTCCAACCTTGTGAATGTAACGAAGCTTGTGGTGAAGGAACTGATAGAATCATCCCTGAAGTATGGTCGTATGTTAGACTCTGACCATGTTTCTTTGAACCATTTCTTCATCCTACTGGAACATGTGATGAGACATGGGCTTATGCGTAAGTTGAAGGTTGTCATTAGTAACTTTCTTCTATAGATGTGTTGAATCATCTTATTTATTTCATATCATGTTTAGTTTTATGTAGTAACTTGCAAATAATTCTGATAACTGTATTATTTAGAACATAACTTTCATATTAAAGCAGAATACAAGTTGACATCCTTTGCATTCAGACATTTTGAGTACAATGTCCTTTTGAATTAGCAATATCTATAATGGTCTGTAGTTACAAGATGTACATATATTTGATATGTGAAATGGTCTGTAGTTTCAAGGTATATATACATTGATATCTGGAACTGTGAAATTGTTGACTGTAAGATTTAGGAAAAATAGCACAAGTTCTAAAAAATCATGTAACAATTTTTTTAAATAAAAGGATTACTGCAGATTTGTATAAAAAATTTTAAATCTACTATAAGCAGTAGAAAAATATTTATTGTAATCTGTAATTTCCACTTAAGAGACTTTTCTTACAGTTACATAAGAGTCTATGAGAGCACTATATTTTCCTTTTTTTCCAGCTAAGAAAGGTCTTCTTGGACCAAAAAAAGAGTTATGGAACCTCTTAGAAACAGTAGAGAAGTACATGCCTGAAGCTTCTGACATAACGTCTAGTGTGCGAGAACTGCCAACTGTAAAGTATGTATAAGAGATCTATAAACAATTTTACTGTGTACATTTATGTCTTTATGAAGAAAAAATGGTGTATTCTGGCTCTTTGTAATAACACACAGTTTGAACAATTTCCATAAACTAATGATTGATATTATAATATTTTAGATTGATAAGGGGTGTTGCAAAATAAATAACCCTTTTTTTCCCTGAGAGCATAACAAAGTAAAATAAGATTTTAATTCAATCAAATAAGTAATTCCAAGTATCAGTATCGCTTGATTGGGCTACCATTGTTCTCACACATGAATTTTAATCGATTTGCAAAAGATTTCAACAATGCAACAAACATGTCTGTTGTTTGGCTGTCTCTGTGAGCACATCAGTAAGAACACAAATCAAGGTTTCACGTTTGTGTCTCTCGCATTCAGGCAAAGTTTCCAACATTTCTTCTGTGCATTTGAACGATAGATTCAACATTTTTAGTGGGATTTAAACCTGGAGAGTTCCCAATCCACATTCCACCACTTTTTCACGGACCACTCTTTCAAATTCGACAATTCTGAAACTATTGAGGAATTAAACGGATTTTTCAAATCTGGCATTGCAATGTGTCGATTGGAAGACTTGAATTCTCGGAGAATTTCTGCAACTAGTTTCTGAGCCATCCTGAAGGCAGCACATGTGACATGAACCTGAGTTCTAGTGAGCACTATGATTCAAAAGTTTTCGCAAAAAATAAAATTTGAAGAGTCAAACACCTAAGAGTACGTTGAACTGACATTTTCATGGTCCTACCAAGTTCATCATTACTTCTGGGAAAAAACTGTGATTTATTGACCAATATGAAACTATGCTGAACTGTGAGCTTTCAGTCTCCTCAGTTCATTCTCTCACAGATTTAAACTTGTGAAATATGCTTAACAACTCAATTCTAGGTCACTGATGATAAGATATCATCATAGTCATACAATATTACATTTTTTCTCAGATTGGAGAGATACCTACTGTTTCTTTCAGATATAGATTGAAATTTCATCTCTTGTGTCTTATTGGTTCCAAATTCAACATTTTCTGTTTGAGTTACATAAGGTGAATAGTTTTAAATGAACACCTTGAGCAAGGAGAAAACAAGGCAACTTTCCAGTCCTCCCAATAAAAAGTGCTAAGTATGCTAGATAAAGGAGAAGAAAAAAATGGAAATAGATTTCTCAACTTGAAAAACAAATCACAATTTAAAAAGTATAGGGTAATCTACAAAAGGACCAAAGAAAGCACCAAAAACGTTGGTATAATTGACTAAAATTTCACACTTTATACTAAAAGTTATTTTTTTAATAGTTTCATATTTTGTTATGTAGTTATTCTCAGCATAAACAACTTAGAGGGAACCATTAATGGCTGAAGTATTTAAAAAGAAATATGCTCAAGTTTTTTATTCAGGAAATAATATGGTAAAGGAAGATATATAATAAAATTTCAGACAATAATCCCTGAACTGAGTTACTAAAGGTTTGTCAGTATGAGGAGCAATACTTAAAAGAAGCAACTGCAGTTTCAGAAAATGGATTATTTCCTTGAAATTATGATGTGTATTAGTATCAAAAGACAGATTCTTCCCTTGAAATTATGATGTGTATTAGTATCAGAAGACGGATTCTTCCCTTGAAATTATGATGTGTATTAGTATCAGAAGACAGATTTTTCCCTTGAAATCATGATGTGTATTAGTATCAGAAGATGGATTCTTTCCTTGAAATTATGATGTGTATTTGTATCAGAAGATGTATTCTTTCCTTGAAATTATGATGTGTATTAGTATCAGAAGACGGATTCTTTCCTTGAAATTATGATGTGTATTAGTATCAGAAGACAGATTCTTTCCTTGAAATTATGATGTGTATTAGTACTTACAACAATTGTGTTAGAAAAACATTCTAGATTCATGTTTCACAATATTTTCATCTCACCTGACAAATGTGTTAAAACATACTGATCTTTGATGTATGAACTTTCAGGTGTGTGGTCTTTAATATATTCAATATCTATAATCCTAAATAATTATGTGCATGTTCTGTTTTATATCATTTGAAAAATTTTTCTGTTATTGATTTTAAAAATTGTACATCTCTCAGGAGACAATACTTTTATTGTTTTAAATGCTGTCATTAACTGCAGGACACATCTTGGTCGTGCTCGAGCCTGGCTGAGGCTTGCGCTGATGCAAAAACGTCTTGCTGACTACTTTCGTTTCTTGACTGATAAAAAGGAAGAAATTCTGATGTAAGAAAACAGGCTATGAAGCTTTTATCTATATTTATATAAATATGACATTGATATTTAATATTCACCGTATTTTTAGGAATATAAGATGCACCCTTATTTTGAAGACAAAGATTTGGGGGAAAAAAAGCTGCAGTCGCATTTGAAAGATTTTTATTGAACAAAAATTAAATTTGATACTTTAAAAATTAGTATATATTGTTCTAAACACAAAAGAGCTCAAAACATCAAAATAAGAAAAAGGTTTACTGTTGTTTAGTTTAGTTCAAAATCTTCATTGCTTTCACTG